AAGAGATTCCCTTTATATCAGTGAATTTTGATTAAAATTTCCAAGGTAATATCTACAACCACAAAGCAGGTGCACTCTAGTTTTCTCTTATTGGAACTCTAGGCTCTCCCTTCTAGAATTGCCTTTTCTTCTGCCCTATCCCTTTTCTAGGAGCCCTGGTGGCGCAGTGGTGAAGCCCTCGGCTGCTAACTGAAAGGTTGTCGGTTCATACTCACCCAGTGGCTCCACAGGAGAAAGACCTGGCAATCTGCTTCCGTAAAGATTACAGCCAAGAAAACCCTATGGAGCAGTTATACTCTGTCACATGGGATCACTGTGTGTCAGAATCAACTCGAGGACACATGACAACATTCCTTCTCTATCTGTGTCCTCCCCAACCTAGGGTCTGCTCTGATCCCACCTGCTCCAGAAAGCCAGTTGTGACTACCACAGCCTCTACTGAATTCTTTGTGTTCTCAACTTCTGTTACCCTTAGGAGCATTACCACATATTTAAGCATACAGCACTTAATTTGCTTTTTAAAAATAATTTTTCATGTGTTAGCTCGGGGTGCCTGTTATGTACTCCTATAATAACTAGCAAAGTGTTAGGTACCTAGCAAGTATTCTTAATTGGTTGATTGTTATTTCTGTCCTCTGGCTGAACCTTGCTTCTCAAAAAGTGGGCCTTAGGCCAGCCTATCTGCATTACCTGGGACTTGTTAGAAATTCAGAATCTTGGACCCCACTCAGCCCTACAGAATCAAGAATCTACATTTTAGCAAGCTCTCCTGGAGACTCTCATACATATCCAAGTTGTGATAGCATTGTTGAGGAGGGTCCTTCTCCTTAAGAGGGGTAGAGAGCCCGGGAACATTCAACTTTTTCTTTTGCAACAGTCTTAATGTTGTGATTTAGGTACCTCGTTGTAGCAGAGCTCTTACTGTAACTGTCGTTGCAAATTTAGTCTTTACATACTAAAAGTGGCCAGAGGGCTCAGCAGCAAGTCATCAGGACTGTATTTGCACCCTGATTCATGAAAACTAGATCTAAATCATTACTATCTCTTTAAATGGCCTCTTTTCATTCTCATACTGAAGAGCAGAAGTATGACTTCCTTTTCCTTAGTTACTCTTTTTTTTTTTTCTTTCCCTTTTGCACTTGGAGTGCTTACACCCACTCAGCTTGCTATTTTGAACTCTGGGAAAGAAAATTTGTGGGCATCTTGCAGTCTTTCAGGAAACAAGGCTTAGATTAAATATTTGCCACATTTTCTGTGTGTTTCATTCTTTAGGAAAGTGAAGGATTATATCACTCATGCTTTCAGTCAACATGACACATAGTGTGACTTTCAAAGTATGGATGGAAAGCAGCTTCTGTCCTTATTTGCCTCCTTTCACATAGATATTCAGGTCCTTTTTCCTCCCCATTCCTTCTGTTTGTTCTTCACTTCCCTTTCAGCACAGCATCTAGAAATCTTCATGTGCCATGTGTAAAATGTTTCCTTGAGTGTGCTTAGTTTCATTACATCAAAGAAGATAACACATGAATTTAATTAATATGCCCAATATGTAGACTATTCTCAATCAAATTTTAGTTTAAAATATTTTATTATAATTTTAGGTTATTTTCATTTTTCCCTGTCTTTGGAAACTAAACCTATCACAGCAGAAATAAGAAAGGCATTGGTCAAGGTAGAGGGGAAGGGGAAAGGGTAATCTCAGCCATACAACTACAGTCAGCTACAGTGCTTCCAGGGAGTGTCCTGGGAAACCCAGGGAGCGTGGTTCCTGTGTGCTTCGTGGGCGAAACCATTCAACTGGAGAAAGTCACTCAAGCTCAGCATTTTAGGTACACCTGATTTATTATATGCAAATAACTGAAATAGGCCAATTGGTGACAAGCACGATTAAATGTTAGCTAATGATAAATTACCCCATTGTTTAGGCCATGTAACTGAAATACAAAGTTCAGATGTATTTAGTTTTTCTGATGGAGCCAAAATATCACAGTTTTTTGTTTTGTTTTGTTTTTATCTTAGTGTGGTAAGCCAGGCAATAAAAGCCAACAAAACAACTACCTTAGTTAGTTTATAAAATTATTTTAGGAGTTGCACAACTGTGTGGTATAGAAATTGTAGGGAGCCTGCCATCATAGCTCAGGTGTCATTGTTCATTTCTAAGGAAATGTAGGGTGGTTTGTGTGCATGAGGCTTACCTGTTAAACAGGTAACAGATTTGTACCTTCTGCGCTAATCAGGGTCAGTCATTTAATGGAATCATCCATATGAGTGATTAATGTATTTTATATTTACTACTTGTGAAGTTTAATATGAGGTGCCCACACCACCACTTAGTAGGCCCTCCATAAACACCTGAAAAACTCAATTTGAAATCACTGACCATTCAGATAGCTAGTTAGATTGAAACTAGAGCATACTTGCTGCTATAGGGGAAAAACCCTTTGGGATATTGGCTTAATGACTGGCCACATTCAGGAAATTAAGTCTTCTTATGAGGCAAGCATTTCATAATACAAGAAAACAGTACCCTGCCTAAGAAATGAACAAGGATAGAAGAAGGGATGTGCGGATCAATATCACATTACACACTGAAAAACCAGTAAAAAAGGATTCTTAACTTTAGCCCATACTGGAGTTCATTCTGCACCATGAGGGTAAGTGCCCTAGCTCTTTCTTGGAAAGTTACTAACATAAACATAGATTGTTAAACAGTGTATTAGCTTCTGCACAAATCCATCCTGGCAAGTATTGAGAGATGATATTACGAATCTAGCTACCAAACACTGTTTGAAAGAGCCTTTGTAACTCTTACATAAGATGCCTTGAAAAGTACAAAAATATATCATATCTGTAGACGTTCACAGGTAAAAATTACGTGTTATACCATTTTTGCAGTTTATCATTTAGGTGCTTGTATTCCTTGATACAGTGTAATTTAAATTAACCAAACGTATTCATCTCTTCCTGCCTGGAGCGGGCAAAGGAAAGTGAAGAAAACTCAAGGGAGCAGTTAGTCCAAAGAACTAACAGACCTCATGAACCACAGCCTACAGGACCCTGAGACCAGAAGAACTAGATGGTGCCCACGATTGCCCTGACTGGGGATTATAACAGAGGATTCCAGGCAGAGCCAGAGAAAAATGTAGAACAAAAAATCAAATTCACAAAAAAGACCAGACTTACTGGTCTGGCAGAGACTGCAGGAACCCCCAAGACTATGGCCCTTCTGATCTGGAACTGGAGTCATTCCCGGAGACCACGTTTCAGCCAAACAATAGACAGGCCCATAAAATAAACAATAACACCCTTGAGGAATGTGTTCCATAGAACAATCAATTATATGAGATCAAAAGGACAATATTTGCCCAAAAGCAAAGATGAGAAGGCAGGAAAGGGTAGAAAATCCTGAGGAAAGGAAACAGGGAGCCCAGAGCAGAAATGGGGAGAGTGCTGACACATTGAGGGGGAGTGCAACCAATGTCATGGAACACTTTACCTACAAACTATCAAATGGGAGACTAACTTTCTCTGTAAACTTTCACCTAAAGCACAATAAAAAATTTAAAAATAAATAAAATAACCATTTGACGTTTGTCTTTTTATATTTATGGCAAGAACCCTAGAATAACAATTAAGATTATATATCTGTTAATGAAGAAGTCTTTTGACACTGTCGAAATGAGTTTCATGGATAACTGTTTCATGAATAGCAATAAGACTATAAACAAGACACAGATTTTCTTGGAAGTGAACAATATTTCCCAATGACTACTCTGGATTTCTACTTGTTTGGTATATATAATTATTGCTATTTGTCTTCTCCATTGCTAGCAACTTTTTTTTTTGTTTTTTGAGCATATACTTTCTAATACGTTGTCATTATTTTTAGTTGCCAGCAAGTGGATTCTGACTCATGGCAACCCCATGCGTACAGAGTAGAAAGCAAATCTATTTCTGCCTTTAATTTTTTGCTACTGAGATTAGTAACTATCAATTAATTTTACTAGTGTGTATAATGGTGTTAGGGGAGTAGAAGTATGTGGGTAATCCCAAATTGCATAATATAAAAGAATCATTTATTTATGGCTTTTGAATAGGTTTTTGAACTTTCACCTGCATATTGTTGTGTATGATGTTCTGGGACTTTAAAACATACTAAATCTACCCTGGAAAGACCAGATTTGGGAGTAGCTGGAAACTGTCCAATTTTCTCTTTCACCCTTATGCCCAACCTCCCAGCATCTCTCTCTCTTTTTTTTTTTCTTAAGGCTCTCTCCAGTTGAGGTACAGTTTGCATTCTCTCAAACCTTCCCTTGGAGCTAAGATTGTAATTTAATATTTAGGCTTCAACAAATGCGCTTCTACTGGTAAAATGAATAGAAGAAACTGAGATTATGTATAGATCCTAATTAAGCTGTTTATGGGTCTTTAATAAACAATTCCTGTGGGCAGCAAAGTATAATATTCTCAGGATGATTTGGAAATTCATACTAGTGAATTATCTCAAAGCCTTCTTGATTATTATCATGTTGAAATGATCTATCTAGATATTAGTTTATATTCCTCAACAGAGATTGAATGTGTCTGGGGCTTAATAGCTTTAACGAATTGCACCCTATAAATTTTCATTGCATCAGTAAGAATCAAGAAGTAGAATTCCAAAACAATCAGTTGCATCCTTTCCTCATCTCTAATTTTAAATGCACTGACATGATATAGCCATCATTTCCCTGTGCCAATCAGTACTGAAAATCTTTTCTGTTCTCACCCTTTGTTGTATTATTTTATTGTTTTCTCTATGCTTGAACATTCATTTTACTCTGAACTAGAAATTTTAATTTAGTTGCCATATGCTTTTGTTATTTTATAGTTTTAAGTAACAGTGACCTAGAAAAAGATACACTAACGGTTTTGATTTTATTTCTGGGTTAATAACCTGTAGATCATGTCATGCTGCTATTGTTTAAATGTTGTTCTTTGTTTTTGTTTTTCCTCATTAGGTGGCGTCTTTGGACTTTGTTAAAGACGATGGTAATCAGATCTACTTGAAAAACTAAGCAAATTGATTTGGTTGGAATACTCTTTTACCAATTCTTTAACTTTCATCTGCTAGGTAAGTGGATCCAAGTGCTTTCTATTTGGTTTCATTTCAAAATTATTGGAAAGATTGCTCAAGCACAATATTAAGCTTTATGTGAACTTTTGACAGTAATGATTTGAAGCCCTCAAAGCCTGTGATAGATATCTGGGGGATAATTTAAATGAAAATGTTTGTAAGTCTTTACCACATTTCTGGAAATATCCTGATTTTAGCTGAACACTGGAAAATTTTGTCATTTATAGTTTGAAACCAGATCCTTTTATTTACTATTTTAATGATAATTTGCTTGTTGTAATCTGGAAGTAATATGAGAGTATCAGATTTTACTTTCAGATTTTTATGTGAAATTGTATGGTTTTGTGCAATCTAAGGTATAGTGAATATTTTGAGTAAATTAGCAAGTCTCCTTATTTTAAACCATTCTCATTTTACAGAATGCTTGGTTTCTGTGGTAAGAATTGAAATCATAAGGACTTGCTCAACTCAACTCCCATGTTGCACTGTGTTTTTATCTCCTGAGATAGAGAACTCTTCACCAGGAGGAGTTTAGGCTTTTAGCAAATTGTTGTGCTGCCAAGACAGAATTTAGTGGGAACAGGACTTTGGCTTCTGCTGAAATGTCAGTATAGTAAAAACCTGCTCTCTCAAACAGAATCTTGGCATCAGAAGTCTAAATGATACTGATTTTAGGGCTTGGTAATTTTTTTTTTTTTTTTTTTTAAATCCAGGCATACTCATTCTTCAATTAACCCTTTGTATAGTTACAGAAAATTTGGAAAGATTTTAGTATCCCTAGCTTAGGTGGAAAGATTTGAGTTTCTGAAATTCTAAATTTTATTCATGATTCTAAAATTGTGCAGCTTGTTACTTGATTTTCCTCTGAATAAACTGGAGTATTATACAATCTGATGAATGATAATGAATGAGAGGAAAGTATCCAATCCTTTAGGGAGCAGACTTTCAAATCAAAATGCCTGCTTTACCTGTGAGCATCTTCTCAGGATGAGGTCAGGAAGTTTTTCAGTGATACTGTCATATAGTTTGTGCAATGCCAACAACTCCCCTCAACTTTATAAAACATACTCTCCCTTGAGGCAAGTGCCTTGGAACTTGATTTTTAGTGTAGCATTTGCTCATTCGTTGAGAGCAGAAAATACCAAGCGTGGAAACTCCAGGGAGTCTTTTCATTCTGCCTGCAAGGTCAGTGTCCCAATATTTATTTGTGACCAACCATTTTCATTGTTATGGGCATATGGTGCCATTTGAAAAAATTCTGGATAATTAAAGGGCCGTAAGGCAGTTAGATAAAAAACCCATCAGGAAGAGAGATGTTAAAACAGTTTCAAACGCAAAGCCTTAATTTCTTCGATAGCTACACAGATGCTAGAAGATGAAAATTAATACTCTGAACCACTAACTTAAATGTCTTTGTCTGCCACAGTTAATTTTCCATGTACTCACTAGGTTAACTTTTACAATTATTCCCAAAGTACCCAATAGTGCTAAAGTTAAATTTCAGTTGGTGGGACCTTGTTTACATCATACTTAGGACACTGTGCTGTTAAGTGTCTCCTGAGAGGGGACATGGCCTGGACTTGGAGTGCAGTGAGATTTCTCCTTGTTTATTGCACTGTGTGACTTTTAGGTTCTTCTGGTTAAGTCAGCTCATTGGAACCACTGTGTTTTAAGATAATAATTATTTTTTGAGTTAAATAAGTAATATAAGAATTAGCAAAATAAAACATACCTTATCATTGCTTTTATAAAAATGTTTGTAAACTCTTTGGTTTGGAGGTACTGTTTATTGCCCTCTTCACCCTGTATTTCACAATTGTTTGTTAGTATCTGGTTAAGGTTTATTATATTTACCTTTAATACAGTTATTACTACTTATTCTTAGTAAGCATCTGCTTCCCCTCTGCAAAAGGGGGATAAGGATGCTATTTAATTCACATGGTTTTGTGAGAATTAAACATCTGGCAGGTAGTAGGAACTCAGTAACTAGTAGTGATTATGATGATGATGACTAGTAGTGGTAATAGTAGCTGCAATCATTGTTTAAATATAGTGGCAATTATATTTTATTAATCTTGTGACTGATTACACTCATCAACATGGGCATAACTCATAGAGATGGATATATTTTTCTCAAACAAAATACTCCTATTCAGTAGGAAACACACCATATGGAATTGGTAAGTTTTTTTCATGATGGGCGTACTACACACAATCAACAGCCTCTTGGCGACTTTATCAGTGAACCTAGCTGGGTGCATTAGCCTGAGTGAGGACTTTTTTCAAGTAATAAATTTTTAAATGTCTTCCCACCCCTCCTGCTCCAATTGGTAGTAAATAGAAAACTGTTTGCAGTATAAGAAAAGAAAACTTTCACTGTTAGAATGTTCTTCCTTTTATGGTACTTTTTGTGAAAGATAAATACAGATTATTCTATCTTTATGATAATGTTGCTTTCCATGTCCTGCCATTTTCCTTCAAGTAGCCAGTGCTTCAGACTTGTCTTGACATTATTTGTTTTAATAGAATATTACCTGGACTATGGACTTTCAACCACGTGCTCAGAGTTACATTCTCTTGTTACATCAGATGCAATTATTTAGGAATTATATGCGTGGTATTTCTTCTTTAAGTTTAGGAAAGATAAGAGGGGAAGTGAAAATCATTAATATTCATTGGCTACTTTCTGTAAGCCAGGCTCTGAGCTAGGTGCTTAATTTTTTTTAAGTAAGAATTAAGCATTCTATGTTCATTTGGGAGCCCTGGTGGTGTAGTGGTTAAGAGTTCGGCTACTAACCAAAAGGTTGGCAGTTCAAATCCACCGGCCGCTCCTTGGAAACCCTATGGGGCGGTTTTACTCTGTCCTATAGGGTCGCTATAAGTTGGAACCGACTCAATGGAACCTAATAACAACAACAACAACAACAATGTTCATTTGGGATAATCGAGTTTCAGAGCAATAATTAATTTGTGAAGAATCACCTAGTTATTATAGTTAGTAATTTTTGGAGTCAAAAGTTATTGAAATCTTATTTTAAATTAGGAAATCCAAAATATGTAATTTTATTTTCAGTATAAATTATTATATTTTGTAGTTTTCTCAGACCCACTGTTCATTCATCCATCTGCTACTTTGTCTTCTGATATGCTTTTATATATTTTTTCTTGTTATTACTTACATCAATAAGGAAAATAAAAAGAAGAAATACTTTCAATCCATTCTATTTGGTCACATTTTAGCAGGTCTTGTAAAGATTTAATATGGAGGCAAAATAGATCTGCTGTTATATTTCTCCTATGAAATATAATTCATGGTAGGCATTATGAGCTTCAGTGCATATGGCCTTCAAAATATTTCCTCTTATATAGAGTTATTTTATAGTTTTTCACATGCATACAGTTCTTCTGTTGGGTCCTTTGTGTTTTGCTTAACTAAAGATGGTATCAGTAATTAACAAACTGATGTGACACTTGTAAGATTCTCGCTCTACTGACAAAGATGGCCATTTGTTTTGCCATTATAGCCTGTGCAAGTAGAGTCTATTACTGTTAGCTTCTTGGGCTACACGTTTTCATTTGTCCACAGTTATTTTCTTATACTCTTTTACACAACTTGGGTCTTTGTTTTTCAAGTGTTTCACTCAGCTGGACCTTCATGCAGTCAGTCAACAAGCATTAATTGAGCCAGTAGTATGAGCAATGCGCCTTTGGTTTCATGAGCATTCTGTAGCTCTCTGGAACCCTGACTGAGGGTAGCTTTCACATCATTTCATAGGATTCCCTTCTGTCCATCGTTCTTCCTTTCTCCTTGCTTTAGCTTGCACTGTGTGGGAACCTCTCATCCTTCACTCTCCAGGCAAAACCTACACAATGGAACTTAGTGGTCATGTACATTGTTTCTATGATGATGGGAATTAACATTTGAGTAATGTGTTACAGTTTACAAAGGCTTTATTGTACATTAAAGCAATGACTGTTATGCAGATATTACTCACACCTTATTTTGTGTATGAGGAAACAAAAAGGCTCAGGGGATTATAATTAAATGATTTCCTTAAAGTTACAGCACTAGTAAGTTGTAAAACCAGAATTCAGCCCTGGTTGTCCCAACCAAAAAGTCCAAGTTCACTTATAGACACCCGAGAAGAAAGGCCTGGTTATCTACTTCTGAAAAATCAACTTTTAAAAAACCCTATGGAGCAGAGTTTTACTGCAAAACACATGGGGTTGCCATGAGTCAGAATCAGTGGCAACACATTTTTTTTTTCTATTGTTGTAGTTTAAGTGAAAGTTTACAATTCAAGTTAGTTTCTTATACAAAAATTTATACATACATTGTTATGTGACCCTAATTGCTCTCCCCATACTGTGACAGCACGCTCTTCCTTTCCACCCTGGATTTCCCGTGTTCGTTCAACCAGCTCCTGACCCTCTCTGCCTTCTCATCTCACCTCCGGACAGAAGCTGCCCGTTTAGTCTCATGTATCTACTTGAGCTAAGAAGCACGCTCTTCATGAGTATCATTTTATATCCCATAGTCCAGTCTAATCTTAGTGGCAACACATTTTTTTCTCCCAACTTCAGATGTTATGTCCTTCACTGCCAGGTCACTGGTATAGTTTTCCTGACAGTGCTCAACTATTGGAGCTTTGTTGAGGTTGTCACTATTTTCTGTTTAGTACGATTCATATAATTAAATAGAAGCTATGTTGGAGTTCTGGGGAATAGTCAGATCTCATAATTTCAGAGAATGTTGGAGGCAGTACGCCTCTACTTTCTTTCCAAGGGAGAAAATACTGGGACCCACGATTGTGAATTTTCCAGACCTCTGATAGGCATAACTTTCTTCTAGAAATTGAAGGTTGCAGACACTAACTGTTAAGCTCACTGGGTCACTCCTCCTACTCTGAGAATCTCATAATCTCCAAGCAACATCTTTATAGACCAAAAATGGCCTTTGGAGTTTGAGTTCCTTTGGCAGTTATATTCTTCATTCT